ATACATACATACATACATACATACATACATACATACATACATACATATATGTATTTGCACGGCCACACCACCATCTGCAGGGGTTTCCCGAGGTCAGAAAATAGCTATCGATTAACCTATTAGGGACAGTTGCGGAGAAATAAAAAAGGACGTAAAAGAACAGGGAACCTATAAACAAAGACGCCGTAACTGGCTGTTGGAGTTGTTAAACGACTTAGCCCAGAAAAAAAGTCGGAAATGAGCTGGAAATGGAGCGGGTATTGGCAGCGGCCTGGGTAAGTAGAGCAGGGTGGGGAAGAGGCTCTGGGCCTCGGTGTGAGCCGTCGGGCCCCGACCGAGACAGCGGTTGGGAAAGTTTGGGGAGCGGGGGCCCCCTGGAACCGCGGTGTCCCAGGGCATGCTGGCGGGAGTGGACTCACCTCTGGTACTAACTAACTAACTAACTAACTAACTAACTAACTAACTAACTAACTAACTAACTAACTAACTAACTAACTAACGTGAATTATCTCTTGAAGCGTAGACAAACCCCTCAAGACCCAACTTCTCTCAAAACGTGAGAAGAGGCGAGGATGCGTCCAGCGCCCGCGAAGTTTCCGAGGCAAGGAATGCCAGCGATGGTAGGAAAGACTGAGGATTCCCAGAGACCCTGGGGGTGGGGGTCCTCAGACTGACCCAGGGCTCAGCGCCTGGTGCTGCCGGGCCGAGAGGACTCGGAACCTCGGAGGGGGGACTGGTGCTCCAGACCCTGGTGATTCTGAGATGGCCTTGGTTGGTTTCTTTATCATTTCTGCCCCCTGCCTTTAGGCCGCTTCTTTGTCAAGAGAGAAGAAGGCGCTGGGCTCAGCGGGTCTAGGCTGTGGTCCTCTTGAAACCGGCCTGACCTGTGGGCTGAAGGCCTGGGAGGGGAGGGCCCTTTGCTCCCCGAGTCCAAGAGACGCAGAGGAGGAAGTCAGGGAGGAAACAATTTCCGTGGTGTTTATAGAAAAGAGCGGAAGAGTTAGGTACCTCCAGACTGCCAGGGTGTCCCAGGCCCCGAGCCCTCGCCCAGAGCCACGCTCGCAGTACGTGACATTAATAAAGTGGTGTTTTACAGTAACCTGGCTTTTGCACGAGTGTAGGACACACAGATGGACTGCCGCCCGTCTGTGCCACTGGCCCTCCGACTCCGCACTTCCACGATGCTCCGGGTTGGGGCAGCTGCGGGATGGGTTGGGACAGTGGCCGCCCCGAGCAGTCTGGAATCTCCACGCTTTGTTGTCGTTTTTGTTGTTGTTGTTGTTGCTTCCAGCCCGTGCCGGGGTCACACCTGATCCGGAAAGGCGTGCCTGAGTTGATGTCTGCGGCTGCACACTTGTGACCCGCTGGCTTAAAAAAAAAAACAACAAAAACCAAAAAAAAAAAAAAAAAGTCTCCTACCCTTACGGTCTTCCGGGGAAACCGACAGGAGCTGCGGCGGGCTGGAGCTGGCCGCCTGTCACCCTGGGCAAGAGGTCACAGCGGCAACTGCTTAAGCGACTCAAAGGAAGGTGGGGAGGAAAAGAAAACACGAGCCAGATTCACAAACTTGGGGACGCCTTTTCGCCCGGCTTGGACGGCCTGGCGGGCGCGCGCGGCGGGCGCGGGGCTCAGCGCGGGCTCGGCTGCGGGCCTGACGGCCGGGCCTGTCCCCCGCGGCTCTCTTTAAGGTAGTCTCCAAATGAACCTCTTTTCGATGTCCCCGCCGCGCTGAGCTGGCTCGGGGTGGGGGGGGACGTCGTCCCCGCGTCGCCGCCGCCCGCCGCCTGCCTCTCCCCCTCCGCCGAGGCCTAGCCCTGGGCGGTCCATTCCCGTGCGTCCCCTTGGAAGCTCTCTGGGGAGGGGGTTGGGGGGTCCCAGCTGCCGGTTCCATTTGTTGCGCCTTTTTCCTTCGACACAATAAAAGTCAAATTAATTGATTCATACCATTAATTACGGTGCGTAGCGTGAAAAGCAACGCTTCCCCTAGTTAGGGATCTATTGTGCTCATCTCTTGTTCAATCAGTGTTACCATCTGATGCTGGGGCCGGCCCCTTACAGAAACTTGGCGACTCGATTAGCTCAATGAGGAGACCGCGCGGGACCTACTGGCCGCCTCCCCCCCACCCCAACCTGGGCCCGCGCCGACCTAGGGGCTTTAATATCGATTTCCGAGAGAGGCCTTGGAGATTCTCGCGGTGGCTGTGTTTGGGGACCCTGCGTGGCTTTCCTCCCGCCGGGTGGACAGTGATGCTGGCACAGCGGTGCTGGCACAGCCTCCGTGCCAGAGCGAGCGGCTGAGCGGTGGTACAGGTGGGAGACCGGGAAGGTTCCTGGGCCCCTCGTTGCCGGAGGTCGCCGGAAGCCTGCTGGATTCCCAGCGACACAGCGGCGAGCTTCTAGCTGGTCTCTAAAAGCCCAGGTGCTCAGTTACCGCCAAATTTTGGGACAGAAGTAGAGAAGTGGGAGGTGGGGGGGGGGGGGGGGATGGGCATGGGGGGAGGGCGTGACACAGGGAACTGAAATGGCAAAGGTAAACATCCAGTCGCCAAAGATGACTGGGGACACTTGAGGGAGAAGAGGGAAGGCACGCGCTAACGCAGTTAAGAATGGGAGTGACAACTTGGGTCAGCTAGCAAACTTCCCAGGAGATATTTAAAAGGAAGATGGCAGCCAGCGTTGGAAACGAGCCGGCCTAATGAGAACGAAGTGGAGAGAAAGTCCGCTTTCTCCTGGGACTGGGAAATAGGTAGTACAGGGCCGGGGAAGCCACTGAGACAGGGCCAGGAGTGCAGGGGGAACCGAGGTTCTGGTAACGCGAGGCAGGGAGAGTAGAGTCAGGATCGATAGGAGGGAAAATTGAGACGTCTCCAGAGGAGGAGAGATTTAGTGTGTGTGTCCTGGAAGGGGAGGATGTGGACGGAACAATTTATGACGGAGAAGTGGGAAATTAATTACAACTCAATTTGGATTCTTAAGTGGTCAACACGGGAGGAGGGGCAGGGTTGGAGAGTGCTGGGAGCAGAGTGGTCCACTCAGGCCTGGGCGACCCCGGGAGCTGTCTCTCTCTCCCTCCCTCCAACTCCGGGGCTGTGGTATCGGCTTGACCACCTCACTGAGACAGGCAGGCGAATGAATGCACCTTTCTGACAACCCGGGAAGGTGAGGCCAGCTTGGGAGAAGAAGAGGACAGAGCGTCCCCGACCCAAGGCGGCTACTTCCTTTAGCAGAGAAAACAAGCCATGGGTGGAAAACATTTGGCAGCCAGCCCCCCTTTCCAGGATCCATCACCTGCCCTCAAGCTGAAGTCCGCTTCTTCTGGACAATTTTCACAGACCTATTAGACCACACGGCCGGCCTTATTGTCTGGATGCCTGCCACCAAAGAAGGTGGGAAGGGCAGAGGTGATCAATGGAGTCCCAACCCATGCAAACTACCTCCACTGCCCAGTGGGTAAGGGTTTTCAGCACGCTTTCACCCCCAAACACTGGCCCCCACACCTCTCCGTAGCTCTTTGGGGGAGGGGGGGAAGAGGCTAATTTAATGTTCATGTTTAGATTTACGTCGCAAAACTTCATTTATTTTCAGTACCTGGTACAGTCCGCGTGCCTACAAATGGCGAGAGACCTTTGGAAAGGGGAAGAGAGAGGGGGAGAGAGGAGAGGAGAGGAGAGAGAGAGAGAGGATGGTTTCGAATTTATTTATATTGGAAATGTATAAACATCCATTCTGTAAAAGGCAACACGTTTAATTAACGATGAGAGAGC